GGTCTTTTAGGCTGGGCTTTGGCTTTTGTACCAACTCTTTATTTTGTTCGTTTTTTTTGTTCGTCTTTCCTCTTATTCTTCCTGCATTACATTTAACGTAAGGTGGGGGGAGGTGAGGGGTCACAGTATGTGTAGTGGCAGTATTGTCATTCTGAAAATCTTTGTGTAAACAGGGCATGATGATTGCATTATGATGCAGCTCCTCCCTTGGACCGTGACACTTCAACAGCAACACCGCTATTGTTCAGCCCCTCAGGTGTTCAATTCTGGTTGGCAGGAAGCATTCTGTTGCACAAGGCATGTGGTAAAATGTGCACATCAGCCTGACAGGTCATTAAGAGAATCAGAACAGTGTTGGGAAATCGCCAGCATTCTGATTTATTTCTCTCTTTGTCAGCGTTTATTGTATGAAAACCAGCAGTGGCTTTACACTGAAGGTGAGCCTTTGTGCAGGCCTCTCAAACGCTCAGACTGCAGTCCATTAACAGTAGTTGGCAGGAAACAAGTCTAACCTTATAAGCGCTGTTTGCACTTTTTTCAGTTCAATTGTTTGACATGGCAGTGAGAAAAAATTAGTATACGTATAAATCTTTTAACCAGTATATCCAGCTTTTATCAAATAATCTTGATTAAAAAAATCCAAATTTACAAAATCAAAGTTTGCAGTTTGAACTGAACATATACGTTTTGTATATAAAAAGCTTTTTTTTTATTATTATTATTTACTGATATAATTAAAGATTAAATTTCCATCTAGTTCAGGGCTTGTATAAGTTCTGATGTATTTATGAATTAATGATATCCTCCACAACAAAGGATGAAAATTATTGCTGTCTTTCTATAACTGTGTTCGTTGAAACTTGTAAGTGTTTGGGCTTAAACCCAAGGCACTCGTTTTCATTTACTGGGCTATAAATATGCTTCATGTTGGTCTAAGTCAATGGTGGGCAAACTTTCGGACTCGCGGACCACACTGAGTTCTAAAATTGGAACAGATGGATGGAGCGTTTGTGTGATGTTACACCCCAGAGCAATAACAGTCGCCGGGACGCTATTAATTATGGGCGATTCCACGTTCTGCACCACTCAAGCAGCCACTAAGTCAGGATTATATGATAGAACAGTGATTTAATTTACAACAGTGAAATTATTGACTTTGTGGAGTCTTACCAACTTCAGGCCAAAACATCAAACAAGACAAACCACTGTATTTTCTCTTACCTGAAGAAAAATAAAATGAACCAAACCACAAGTCTCTTACCTCACTATGCTAATGGAACACAGGAGAAAAGTCTAAATAAAGTGGCAGCTCACCTCCACAAACTCCTCACAAAACTTTTTACAACTACAGGATCTAAAGTTGATGACAGGTCAGCTGTGGCAGGATGGGAGTGGAAGCAGACGTCATCCTCCTGCAGATGCAGCATCACAACAGAGTCCCTGGACAATAATTCACACGTTTTTGTTTTTCACAATTTTTTTTGATAATTCACACACAGTTACCAGTTTCACACACGCACACACACAAAGCACGACTTACAGCGATTCCTGGTGAATGAAAAATAACATCCTGGTCGAGGTTTTCCTTTCATTTTATCCTGGATTCTTGTCAGCAGATCGACATGTTTTCCAGTTAAATTTGGTGACTGGTCCGTTGTGACACTGAAGTTTACTCCACAGAAGCTTCATTCTCTCGATGGCAGCAGACGGTTACAAAAATACTCTCTCCATGTTTTTCCTTTCAGAGACTCCAGGGTCAAAAACACCTCCATTTTCTCAAAACTGTTGTTAATCCCGCAGATAAAAAAAGTAGGAGCTGAGCAGTGTCCTTTATTACTTTCATCCAGTGCTAACAAACCGTAACTTAATGGACTCTCTCTGCCTTTTAGCTTATTTTGCTAAATCTTCATCAATCAGTTCCATAAGGCGAGTCACAGTCCTGAGTGATAAACTGATTTTTTCTAACTTATCTTGGCCCTCCAGACACAATAGACCTGCTCTGTTTTTACCATGTTTCTTTTTAAAAAATCACCTTCGAAGAAAGGCTTGCTAGCATAGTTAGCAGTTAGCAAAGTGTACTCTTTGAAAACCGTGACAGGTTCTTGGCATAAAAACTGTCTTTGATTGGACCTCAGTGAAACAATATGTTGTTGTCCACCTGATTTTAAACACTCAGCACTCACTGTACACTTTTCTTTTCTTTGATAAACACGTTTTTACAGACAAGTTCGTAGGGCAAAGTAAAAAATAAAAGCGTAGAAGAAGAAATTACTTCTTCTCCACTGTTAATTTGCCTGTAAAACACGCCAGTGTCTGTAGTGTGCCTCTACTGGGGAAATGATGGAACTACAGGTAAAACTACAGCAGTTTATTTTCCTATGAAAATGCAGTTTTTTTAAATACAATTTGGACCAGTGGTGATTTTAACCTCTTATTGGGGGTGCTTAAGCACCCCTAAATTTTAACTCGGCACCCCTGAAAAATAAAGTAAAAAAAATATATATAT